AAAGAAAGAATGAAAAATTGTCAATAAATACAGTTTAGGAAACTATTTTAGGTTCTTCCTGTCAAAATCGGCCCTGCATGTTTACAAGTTTTTTAGAAGTTTATCCAAAATGTATCGTTCATTTTTTAGTTTAGTGTTTCAGATTCTGCCCCAGCTTTTACTCTCAATGTAAAGTGTTTTTAGAATGTAATTATAAATAGCACAAACACTTTTTTTACTTTTTCAAAGTAAATCATTGTAAAGTCATCCAATTTCCTGAAAAACTTGTATCATTTTATGCTAATTTGGTGTTTTTCTTTCTATAGGACTCCTGGTATACTCTGTGTAATTAATGATCAGGACTGGGAGCTACTGGTAAGCCTTCATTATAATTCACATTTTCATCCTTTCAACGAATATCAATGGTGAAAGTGCAGAAGTGTGTATCTCGGAAAACACGATTTTCCAGGAGAGTAAAAAACCTGTCTTCATTCCTCCCCATTGTCAGTAGGAGGGTAATAATTCCGGAGGATAGCAAGAATAAGATGCTTTTTCACACTCCATCAGCATTTTAAATACTTTCTCGAACTGTTAGAAAATACGGCAGAAATACTGAGATTCGCGTTTTCGGCACATCTTTATGGATTAAACGAGCCAGGCTAGAACCCTTGGAGAGTCAAGGGAAAGAAGTTCGTGACGGAATACCGGAAATCTTGTCATGAGTCGCCTAAAAAGTCAATGAGCTTTTTCAAAATAGGTAAAAAACATGGTATAGTCAAGGAATTCTAATTCTGAATTACTTCGACCCTGTGCTGTCCATAATAATGCATGTTGTCATGTTGGTTTTGTGCTTTTGTTCCCCTGGCCAAGTAAATAAAATTTAAATGCGAAAATGCGATCTTGGACATTAGATGATAATTTTGTCCTCGGAATTTTCAGTTACAATTTATTCAAGTGCAAATAGAATCCGCCCCTAAGGAAAACATTTGCAAGTTTTCCATAGAAAATTCACATTTTATCAAACGAGAGGCTCAGAGGACAAGACGCATAAGTGCAGCCTTTCCTGTTTCAAGGAATACGTGTTTAAAGTTTCAAAATTACATGGAGCCTTACAGCAGAGAGAAAGTCAAAACTCACTTTTTGATGCGTTACAGTTAGATTTTAGTTGTGAATTTTTCATAAAGTATAATTTCAAACAAGTCTTAATTAAGTTAATGAATATCTGAATTTTTTCAAAAACTGCACTAATGCGTCTTGTTGTCCTGCAAGCCCCTTAAATGAGTTTTGGAAAAGTTCAAATTTTGATACAACGTTGTTACCAAGCAATGCAAAGCTCAATCTTTATTTTGATTATTGATCAGGATAAGAAGGAGGGTAGTCGATTTATAAGTCGAAAACTTTCCATTCTTTGGTTAACGTCAACATCAGTGACCCAAGAGGGGTGCTGCAGTACCTGACGAGGTATTGATTCATGCATTCTTATTCAATGGAAACCGTAAGCACTCTCGTTTTCATGATTAATTTCTCCCTCTTGGTGCTTAGGGACCCCTTTCTGAAATAAAGTGTAAATAGAAATTTGAAAAGACTGCAACCACCTCCCAAGCTGTTCAAGAAGAAATCATGATATTACAGTGGTAAAATAAGGTGGAACTGCTCAAATGTTGATGATCTTAGCAATTTTATCCAGAGGGACGAGTTATCAAAGAAAACTTGGATAAGATGGGAAATTTCTACTGAACTGTGAAAGGACAGAGAAAAATCAGGAAATATCAATGGATTTCATGCGTAACTTTTATGCTGTACTAAAACGTGATTTTCTTCTCCTACATTTTGAAATAAATATTTGCATTTATCATCTCATGAAGTTTCATGGCCATACCATCTTGACTTTAAATTAAAAATCAAGAAAAAGGGAGAATATTCTCTCTCTTTTTTTCTTCTTCTGTACCCATGGATCATTCACACTTACAGTCTGACTAAACAGGTTGTACCTTCAAGTTCTCGAATTTTTATTTTGTTTGTTTTATTGAAAGAATCCAGAGGTTTTATCAAGTAAAAGTCCTGATATTTTGAAATCTTAATCAAGAGTTATCACTTCGTATTTGCAATATTTTGGCACAGGGTGACAAGTCCTTGCGAAGTCGGAGAAAACCTGGGAAAGCCCGGGAATCTCGACCAGCCCTGAAGTCAGATTTTTTCGTGGATCCTTATAATTTTTCTCGAGCTTTATACCAACTTCAAGAGACTTTTTACCTAAAATTTTTTTTGAAACTTTCTTTTGCCAGAAACTCTGAAAAAAAAAAATTCATTGATGAGTCACGGAATTTCATGTTCAAAATCTTTAAAAAGTCCAAGAGTTGTCTACAATCCAAGAATTATTGTCATCCTGTGGCAATAAAATCAGGGTTGCCGCAGTCAGGGAATATCACGAAAACCGGGAAATGTCAGGGAATTTTACAAAAGTCAGGGGAAACCTGGAAATGTCAGGGAAAAATTGTTTATTAACCTTTATTCGCTTTCTCGAATGGATTTGACGTCTAGAACAACGAATTTCGCCTGGAAATTATTTCGAATCATGTTTTTTTGGCCGTATGACATATCCTCAGTTATCAGGAAATTTCCCTCAAATGTGTCAGGGAAGTCGGGGAATTGTCAGGGAATTTAATTCTCTAAATTTTGTGGGAACCCTGATAAAATGGACTCCTGTAACGAATCGCAACTTCTCGGCCAGAGACAAGAGACCCTTCACTAGCCTCTTGGCGACAGATGGAAGCTTTTACTTTCGTGGACTCAATAATTCCTTATGGACAATTGGATCGCATTAAGCAAAAAGGAACCAGCGCGATTACTGTGTTTTCAAAATCGTTCAACTTCTCCTTTTCTTTTGAAAATACTTAACATAAGTATGTACAGTATTAAAATTCACAGAAGTATTTTCCTCTAAAATTAACAATTTTTTGGTAGGAAGCCAAATGTATTTGCTATTCTGGGAGATTTTTTAGATAATTATGAGGAAGGAACATTTTTACAACACTGTATTTGCGCTGGTTCCTTTTTGCCGAATGTGATCTAATCATAAGGGAACAACAGTCACCACTCTTATTTCGACTGTTGACCTACCTACATGGTGGATGATGAGCTCCGGGTGACGTCACGAGCCAAACAAATTCCCCAAATTTCGGCTTGTTTGCTAAACGAAACTGCCAACACGTTCTTAACCATTGATCATGTAGGTAGGTCAACAGTACTCTGGTAAAAGTTGGCGATAGGAGCTGCGTTTCAAAATACTATAAGAATTCTTATAGCTGGCTAAAGGAGGCGATAGAAAATTATATAGCTGGCTGTAGGAAGCGGAGGAAATCATAGAGTCGGGCTATACGAAGCGATAAAAAATTATGAAGGCGGGCTATAGCGCCATCTGCTATGAAAGGCTATAAGAAATTGTGTAGAAATTCGTGTGCTTTGAAAATCATTAAGTTTGATACGGAACCACCTTAATATTTACGAAACACACATAATATTTTTCTTTAATACATATTTTTTTAATCAATTAAAATGAGAATAATCCATACAGAGCGTGCAAACATTTCAAAATCGTGAGTTGTAAAACGCTGACTCCGCCAGATTAAATATTAAAGCCTAACACAAAGCGGAGCGGCGACGCACTAGCGCCTACAAACCTAACAGGGATACTTCACGCATTGCGCAACGCGTGAAGTATCCCTGTTAGGTTTGTAGGCGCCAATGCGCGTTTCGCGCAGATCGCCCGCCCGCCCCGCCGCAGCGTGCCACGGCGCTTGAAGCAACTATTTCACACCAGAGGTATTGCACAGTATCATACGAAATTGAAGGCGCGCTAACATATTATAGGAATGGCAGGCATCCATCAAAAGTATGGAGCTTCCCTCGCAAAATAAATCAAGATACTAAGGCCCAAAAAGAGAGCGGTAGTCCAAAAACTCTTTAAGTCCCAGCATCCGTAATTAGTAACATTTGGTAAACACTTTATTGCCTGGCTGTTGCTTAATCGCCATCGGAATCATCGGCTATAGAAGGCTATAAGAAATTGTGTAGCCGGCTACAGAAGCTATTGGAAATCTTACAGCCGGCTGAAAGTCTACGGTATTTTGGAACACAGATTCTACTACCAATTTTTACCAGGGTAGAATGATGAAGTCCCGAAAGTAAAAGTTTCCACCATAGCCGAGGTACGAGTGGAGGGTCTCCTGTCTCTGTTCTCGGCCGAAAAATGCCGGGATATCCTCGGCGAGAAAACTCGCGGGGAAAAATGATTTTCCGGGCTCCTCGTTTTCGGAAGATTCTACTTACGTTGTCTATTGTTACTCTTCGTTTTAAGGAAAAGGGACGGGGGAGGCGGGCCAGAAGGCCCAAGGGTCTCGTTTTCGGGATTTGTATCTCGACTTTCCCATCGCGCCCGCTTCTCCCGGTTTTTATCGGCTAATTTACTTAGCAACGCAGCGGGCGCGGCCACCCCTTTCTTCCGTCAACTATACGGCTCACCCCCTCCCCTCGCCCCTTTAATTTCACCCCGGTTCCAGGAAAACGCTGATGCGGAAGAGCCTCGATTAGCCGCCAATCCAGAAGGAGCCGCCGCAGCTACGGATCTCCCATTATTTAATCCATCAATCGATTATTCGTCACATCCAGTTTTGACATTCAATAACCCCTCCATTACTCGATTATTATCAATCGGAAGGATAATTAGTAGCTTTTGCTTCATGAGCTTTGCCAGCTTTTCTTTGATAAAATGCAGATTTTCCTGGAAATTTTTGAATGCCTATTTTTCCTTCAATTTTTCAGATATTAAACGAGGCCGCAGTAAGGAATTTTCTGTTATTCAATCGAACCAATCGATTATTCGTCATATCCAGTTTTGACATTCAATTACCCCTCCATTACTCGATTATTATCAATCGGAAGGATAATTAGTAGATTTTGCTTCATGAGCTTTGCCAGATTTTCTTTGAAAAAATGCAGATTTTCCTCACTGGGGAAAAAAAACACATTGTATCTAGAGTCCAGACTCTTGAAAACATTGACAAGAAAAAGGACTCTTGATTCAATCAGATTTAAGCTTAAATCAAAAGGAAATCCGCTCAAATTAAGAGGCTTGGTTCTTGATTTAAGCTCAAATCTGGTTGAATCAAGAGTATTTTTTCTTGTCGGTGTTTTTAAGAGTCTGGACTCTAGATTTAATGTGTTTTTTTTCCCCCCCAGTGCTGGAAATTTTTGAATACCTATTTTTCCTTCAATTTTCAGATTGTAACCGTGGCTGCAGTAAGGCCTTGTCTCCACGGGACGTTTTCATGGGATTTGTCCCAAGTTCGAATCGCAGGAATGAAACTTCTGGGATTTTTCCCAGTTACCGTCTCCACGGGACGAGGCTCATACGGTCCTGGGACTAATTTGCGCGGGAAGATAAATTAGATAAAGTCGAGTATTCAACCGGGATTGAAATAATAATTGCACTCAACTGACAATTAGACACATTATTTTAAGTGAACAAACATGAACAATAGAGTAATCAACAAAATATCGCACAGTTCGTTTTCACTTCTTCTTCCTCTCTTAGTGGGTCCTAGGGGTACAAGGACCATACCTGTTACTGGGAAAAATATTGAGTTAATCAAAAATATTGATTAACTCAATATTTTTCCCAACTTTGTAAGTGGGATAAATCCCGTGAAACGGCCCGTGGAGACAAGGCCTAAGGAGTTTTCTATTATTTAATCGAACCAATCGATTTTTCGTGAGTGGGATCCCACCCCGTTTCGAAAATCAATTGCCTTGATCAATCGATCAGTTATTATCAATCGCAAGAATAATCAGTATCTCGTAGGTACTGCATGAACCCTCGGCTTGGCTGTTGCCAGATTTACTACTAATAATAAAACACATATTTTCTGGGAAGTTGAATTTTTTCTTTCAGTCTTTCATAGTGGGTTTTCGCAATTCTATCCAAATCATCTGGAACTTTCAAAGAAAAACTATTCGTGACTTTTCTTAAAAATGGTACTTTATTGAGAGACATTTCCTAACATTAGAATGTACATTTGGCTTTTTTTTTTTTTTTTTTTTGCGTGGCAGTATGCGTCTATCAAGCAATCGATAATTCCTCAAATTTAATGAGTCGGTCCTCACGACGCGCAGAAACATTCAGAATACAGCCAATCGGTGGATACAACTTAATTAACTTTGGCGTAGGGTTGGGTTGCGTCGCCAAATTTGAAGGCGAACTAGCAGCGATTTTGTTTACCAGCGAAGCGGCGCGTTGCTCCAACTACCATGCTGCGTTTGCGTGTATCTTCCTCATCCTTATTTCGCGACAAATTGCATTGATAAAACTTAGATTTTTTTTTCGGAAACTTTTAAATCTTTTGAACGCCATTTGACCAGAAAAACCAGGACATCAGACCCGCAGCAAGGAAAATTGTCTAGGTTTGCGCTACATCTATTCCCATGCAATTTTGATTGCCGAAAATGACTTTCAATTTTTTACCTGCACCCACTCATTTTGCGCAAAGTCGAGATTTCCCTCTAAAACAGGGGTTTCCGGAAAAATTCTTTATAGAGGAAAGTTACCTGGGAATTATCCACCAAACTTCAAGAGTTATAATCATTGTCCTCGATGCAAATCTGTGTACTTTTTCCCTAAAAGATTTCATTCTTTTTGTTCTGTTTCAGGATACCCTAAATTATGAGCTGGAACCCAACGATAACATCATCTTTATCTCGACACTTCACGGAGGCTGAACCAAAAATTCCAGGTAAGTTTCGATGTTGCACAACAAAGTCGCTTGAAAGGGAATTCCGCCAGAAACCTAACCTTGCCCTTGAAGAGGAGGAAAGAGGAAGTCTTCGTCAGAATAAAAACTTTTTTAGACCAAATCTATGAGTTACATCGACCAAATATTTGGGTTGAAAATTCGCAACCTTGTTTAAAATCATTTTTTTATATCTTAGATCAGTCGCGTTGCATTGGCCAATTCCCGCGCTTTTTTTTAAACCTAATCCGGGATTTGGCTCGTTTTTTTCTGGATTTTGTTAGAAGTTAGATACTCGACTCTGATTGGTCCGAATTCCATCAGTCATCTATTATAAAAACCAACCGAATCCAGTCGCGATTTGCCCAGACGGAAATTTTTAACTGAGATACGATTTTTGACTTGAGCCATCGATGTATCACAAATCTGCGAGTCGATTGTCGAATCGTTATCGAATGATCCTAATCGATAAATCCCTATCTTGGCAATGCTTTTTATCGATCGAGATCATTCGATATCGATTCAACAATCGAATCGCAGACTTTATCACGCCCACGGCAAATCGAGTCGCTTGTCTTCACTCTTTTCCATAAATGCGCTTCAGATCCATTCGAGAACTCATCCATCGTTTGCTATTGAATTGAATATAGAAAAGTAATTCTATTGAATAGAAAAATAAAATTTCGGAAAATGCCAGGAATTAGAGATGCGTGTTCTTCCGGCCGGAGAAACGCGTTGCCGCCCGCGCACTCGAAGCAAAGAAGTTAGCAACTCGGGGCAATTCCAAGCCCCCTCGTCAATGTCCCCAAGTCTCAAGTGCGTTCTTAATCGATTGCTTCCTTCAGTTTCCTAATATCCGCGCCTTTCCACTCCATCCCGTCCCGTCTTGGAGGAGTCCCGCTGTGCTGCCGCCAGGGATTTCGATACTCCCAGGGATTTCCAGGCTCTATTTGATTTCGATCTCTTACTTTTATACAGGGTGACAAGTTCTTGAAAAGCCAGAGGAAAGTTAGAAAAGTTAGGGAATCTTCCCGAGGATGCTTGCAATTTTTTCCTCTTGACAAAACATAACATTTTTTCAATTTTAAGAGGCTTTAGTCGTATTTGGTTCGGAGGCAACACTCGCAACATGTTGTGAAAACAAGCAACAATCGCATTTTGTTCGAAGTTGTTCTGTGTTGTGGGGGCGGGGCTTATTTTCGCGCGCAAAATTTGGGAACCCCTATAGCAACATTGTTGTACAACTGCAGCGTGCTCAAAGCAAGTAGTTTTTATGTTGTTCAAAAAAGCAATGCGGTTTTCTAACCTCGTATCGGAAGTTGCTCTCTCATTGGTTGTTCAGAATCGCGTAAAAAAAAACAAGAAAACAACGGAAATATTTTGTTGTTTCGAACGAAACATGACTTTTCCGCCTCTTTTTCTTCAACAGAACTTTTGTGATTAATCAAGCCTCCCCCCCCTCCAAAAGCATTGATTTGTCAGGAAAAACTCAGGAAATTTAATGTACAGGAGTCATGAAAAGTCAGGAAATTTGAAATCCAATAAAACTTGTCCCCCGCCGGTTACAGTATGGATACTTTCAGGAAAAAATCATCGAAACTCAGAGGCAGATTTGAACTGCATTTTGCAATTTGGAACTACAAATTCTGGCTCATCTGAAAAAACACGTATGTGCATGGGGAAACTAATGGCACATACGTTGTTTTTAAACCGGGCCAGAATTTATAGTTCCAAATTGCAAAATGCAGTTCATTTATACTTTTATACAGGGTTATAATTTTTTGAACAACCGGAGACGACACGGAAAAGTCGGAGAATTTCGCTGTGAAGTCTTGAAACTGTCTCCTCCTGACAAAACATAACATCTGACATAGTTTACATTGAGTCGTATTAGATTTGGTTTCTACGAATTGATAACAAGTTCAGTAGGCGGTTTCCGGATCCGAAGACTGATCCTTCTGCTCCCCGAACCGACCTATTAAGTTGACACTTTGGCAGGACCGAACTTGAGTTTGCAATGAATCCAAAAACTTTGATTCATATGGAAAATGTAGCATTGACCAAAAAGTTTCTTGAACTTAAGCTCAGACGAAAAACTGCGGTCGATATGGCAGTCTCCATGTGACTTTAAGTTGTTCTAACTGAGTCTAGCTGAGAATTCGGTTCTGTCAACTGAAAAAGTTGGTCCGCGCGACCTGCGACCCAACCTGAGTCAGTCCACTGACCGGACCGAAAAACATCAGCTATGCTCGTGCAACCTGCCTTGCGAACACTGACTTTTAACAAGTGGTTTATTTCGCCTCGCCCTTTAGCGTGTTAAAACGTGTATAAGTTAGATTACCTTAATTATTATTAAAGTCATGTGCCATAGCTATGTTTACATTTCCATTTTCTATTGAAAATAAAATCCGCTTCACACTCGAGGCTCAGGTTCGCAAGCCAGAATACAATTTCAGCTTGCCTCGTCACATTTTGGCCGGAAGCACTATATGTGATTGTTGATAATAATCCCGTGAACTATTTACTTCATTTCTCGTCGCCTAATTTTCTCTCCTGTCATGTGTTTTTAAAAGAAAAAGTAAGCAGAATAATGTCTTGAAATTCTCTGTGAATATCCCCTAATGATAAAGATTTACATTAGAAATCTAGCAGATTCCATCCACTTTCAAGTAGACTGTTTTTTTTTTCTTTTTTTTTTCTTTAACTTCAAATAGCCCACAAGGGCTAATCCTGCGCTTTTAGTCCCGTCCCCCCTCCGTTCCTACTGAATAACCAGTCCCAGGCAACCATTGTTCGAGACCCTCAAACTCGGGACGCTTGGCCGGGAATCGAACCTGAGACCTCCCGATCGTAGAGCTAGCGCTACAACCACTACAGCATAGGAGGCCGATTTGTTGCTTAGTTTTCTCGTAAAAAAATAAAACAGAAGAAATTGGGTAACTTTTAATAAAGTTAGACTGATTTTAAGGAATTTTGTTCAGATCGATGGTTGGCAATTGTATGTTTTTTTTTTTTTTTTTTTTTTTTTTTTTTTTTTTTTTTTTTTTTTTTTTTTTTTTTTTNAGCGGTAGTCCAAAAACTCTTTAAGTCCCAGCATCCGTAATTAGTAACATTTGGTAAACACTTTATTGCCTGGCTGTTGCTTAATCGCCATCGGAATCATCGGCTATAGAAGGCTATAAGAAATTGTGTAGCCGGCTACAGAAGCTATTGGAAATCTTACAGCCGGCTGAAAGTCTACGGTATTTTGCAACACAGATTCTACTACCAATTTTTACCAGGGTAGAATGATGAAGTCCCGAAAGTAAAAGTTTCCACCATAGCCGAGGTACGAGTGGAGGGTCTCCTGTCTCTGTTCTCGGCCGAAAAATGCCGGGATATTCTTGGCGAGAAAACTCGCGGGGAAAAATGATTTTCCGGGCTCCTCGTTTTCGGAAGATTCTACTTACGTTGTCTATTGTTACTCTTCGTTTTAAGGAAAAGGGGCGGGGGAGGCGGGCGAGGGGGCCCAAGGGTCTCGTTTTCGGGATTTGTATCTCGACTTTCCCATCGCGCCCGCTCCTCCCGGTTTTTATCGGCTAATTTACTTAGCAACGCAGCGGGCGCGGCCACCCCTTTCTTTCGTCAACTATACAGCTCACCCCTTCCCCTCGCCTCTTTAATTTCACCCCGGTTCCAGGAAAATGCTGACGCGGAAGAGCCTCGATTAGCCGCCAATCCAGAAGGAGCCGCCGCAGCTACGGATCTCCCATTATTTAATCCATCAATCGATTATTCGTCACATCCAGTTTTGACATTCAATAACCCCTCCATTACTCGATTATCATCAATCGGAAGGATAATTAGTAGGTTTTGCTTCATGAGCTTTGCCAGATTTTCTTTGATAAAATGCAGATTTTCCTGGAAATTTTTGAATGCCTATTTTTCCTTCAATTTTTCAGATATTAAACGAGGCCGCAGTAAGGAATTTTCTGTTATTCAATCGAACCAATCGATTATTCGTCATATCCAGTTTTGACATTCAATAACCCCTCCATTACTCGATTATTATCAATCGGAAGGATAATTAGTAGATTTTGCTTCATGAGCTTTGCTAGATTTTCTTTGAAAAAATGCAGATTTTCCTCACTGGGGGAAAAAAACACATTGTATCTGGAGTCCAGACTCTTGAAAACATTGACAAGAAAAAGGACTCTTGATTCAATCAGATTTAAGCTTAAATCAAAAGGAAATCCGCTCAAATTAAGAGGCTTGGTTCTTAATTTAAGCTCAAATCTGGTTGAATCAAGAGTATTTTTTCTTGTCGGTGTTTTTAAGAGTCTGGACTCTAGATCCAATGTGTTTTTTTTTTCCAGTGCTGGAAATTTCTGAATACCTATTTTTCCTTCAATTTTTCAGATAGCTAACGTGGCCGCAGTAAGGAATTTTTTGTTATTCAATCGAACCAATCAATTAATCGTGAGTGGGATCCCGCCCCGTTTCGAAAATCAATCGCCTTGATCAATCGATCAGTTATCATCAATCGCAAAAATAATCAGTACCTCTTAGGTACTGCATGAACCCTCGGCTTGGCTGTTGCCAGATCTACTACTAATAATAAAACACATATTTTCTGGGAAGTTGATTTTTTTTTTTTTAGTCTTTTACACAGTGGTTTTTCGCAATTCTATCCAGATCATCTAGAACTTTCAAAGGAGAATTATTCGTAACTTTTCTTAAAAATAGTACTTCATCGAGAGACATTTTCTAACATTAGAATGTACATTTGACTTTTTTTTTCTTTCTGCGTGGCAGTATGCGTCTATCAAGCAATAGACGATTCCTCAAATGTAATGAGTAGGTCCTCACGACGCGCAGAAACATTCAGAATACAGCCAATCGGTGGATACAACTTAATCAACTTTGGTGTAGGGTTGGGTTGCGTCGTCTTTGAAGGTGAACTAGCAGCAATTTTGTTCCCAAGCGAAGCGGCGCGTTGCTCTAACTACCATGCTGCGGCTGCGTGTATCTTCCTCATCCTTATTTCGCGACAAGTTGCATTGATAAAACTTAGATTTTTTTTGGAAACTTTTAAATCTTTTGAAAGCCATTTGACCAGAAAAACCAGGACATCAGACCCGCAGCGAGGAAAATTGTCTAGGTTTGCACTACATCTCTTCCCATGCAATTTTGATTGCCGAAAATGAATTTCAATTTTTTACCTGCACCCACTCATTTTGCGCCAAGTCGAGATTTCCCTTTAAACCAGGGGTTTCCGGAACAATTTTTCCGGAAAAATGCTTTATATAGGAAAATTACCCAGGAATTATCCATCAAACTTCCAGAGTTATAATCATTGTCCTTGATGCAAATCCGTGTACGTTTTCCCAAAAAGATTTCATTCTTTTTGTTTTGTTTCAGGATACCCTAAATTATGAGCTGGAACCCAACGATAACATCATCTTTATCTCGACACTTCACGGAGGCTGAACCAAAAATTCCAGGTAAGTTTCGATGTTGTGCAAAAAAGTCGCTTGAAGTGGAATTCCGCCAGAAACCTAACCTTGCCCTTGAAGAGGAGGAAAGAGGGAGTCCTCGTCAGAATAAAAACTTTTTTAGACCAAATACGAGTATTAGGGTTCTGAAATATTACATTTCTCAGGGTTGGTATCTGGAAATTCGCAACCTTGTTTAAAATCATTGTTTTATATCTTAGATCAGTCATGTTGCATTGGCCAATTCCCGCGCTTTTTTTAACCTAATCCAGGATTTGGCTCGTTTTCTTCTGAATTTCGTTGGAAATTAGATACTCGACTCTGATTAGTCCGAATTCCATCAGTCATCTATCATAAAAACTAACCGAATCCAGTCGCGAAAATTTGCCCAGACGGAAATTTTTAACTGAGATACGATTTTTTGACTCGAGCCATCGATGTATCACAAATCTGCGAGTCGATTGTCGAATCGTTATCGAATGATCCTAATCGATAAATCCCTATCTTGGCAATGCTTTTTATCGATCAAGATCATTCGATATCGATTCAACAATCGGATCGCAGACTTTATCACGCCCACGGCAAATCGAGTCGCTTGTCTTCACTCTTTTCCATCAATGCGCTTCAGATCCATTCGAGAACTCATCCATCGTTTGCTATTGAATAGACTAGAAAAATAATTCTATTGAATGGGTAAATAAAATTTCGGAAAATGCCAGGAATTAGAGATGCGTGTTCTTCCGGCCGGAGAAACGCGTTGCCGCCCGCGCACTCGAAGCAAAGAAGTTAGCAACTGCTCGGGGCAATTTCAAGCCCCCTCGTCAATGTCCCCAAGTCTCAAGTGCGTTCTTAATCGATTGCTTCCTTCAGTTTCCTAATATCCGCGCCTTTCCACTCCATCCCGTCCCGTCTTGGAGGAGTCCCGCTGTGCAGCCGCCAGGGATTTCGATACTCCCAGGGATTTCCAGGCTCTATTTGATTTCGATCTGTTACTTTTATACAGGGTGACAAGTTCTTGAAAAGCCAGAGGAAAGTCAGAAAAGTTAGGGAATCTTCCCGAAGAGGTTTGCATTTTTTCCTCTTGACGAAACGTAACATTTTTTCAATTTTAAGAGGCTTTAGTCGTATTTGGTTCGGAGGCAACACTCGCAACATGTTGTGAAAACAAGCAACAATCGTATTTTGTTCGAAGTTGTTCTGTGTTGTGGGGGCGGGGCTTATTTTCGCGCGCAAAATTTGGGAACCCCTATACAGCAACATTGTTGTACAACAACTGCAACGTGCTCAAAGCAAGTCGTTCAAAAAAGCAATGCGGTTTTCTAACCTCGTATTGGAAGTTGCTCTCTCATTGGTTGTTCAGAATCGCGTAAAAAAAAAACAAGAAAACAACGGAAACATGTTGTTGTTTCGAACGAAACACGACTTTTCCAACTCTTTTTCTTCAACAGAGTTTTTATGATTAATCAAGCCTCCTCCCCCCCCCCTCCAAAAACATTGAAATGTCAGGAAAGAGTCAGGAAATTTAATGAAAAGAAGTCATGAAAAGTCAGGAAATTTAAAAATGGAAAAATCCAAGAAAATTTGCCACCGCCAGTTAAAGTATGGATACTTTCAGGAAAAAATCACTGTAACTCAGAAGCAGATTTATACTTTTATACAGCTTACATACTAGCTAAGTTTTTTCGTAAAAAAAATAAAACAGAACAAATTGGATAACTTTTTATGAAGTTTGACTGCCTTTGAAGAATTTTGTTCAGATCGATGGTTGGCGATTGTATGTATAAAACAAACATTTCTGATAATCAAGGGTTCATGAAGTGCGTCAATGGCGAGGCATGGATCATTGACAATGGAGAATTTGCACGCAATTTTTTTATTGCTTCATCTGAAAGTGCCTAATGAGCTGAGTTCGCAATATTTTTCATAATTTTTTTCTGACATGGGAAATTGGAGAAAAATTGATTTAAAAGTGAGAAAATGTGCCGCCTTGTGACGTCATCTGGCGGCATTTCCCATTTAAACACATGTATTTTAGTAGAATCGGTTATTTTGTCATATCTCCTCTAATAATTGCTCAATTTATGAATCAAGGGTACCTTCGTGTTCAGTTCACTCAGAGGATTCCACTTAAACAGGAAATTCATCAAATTTCAGACCCTTGCAAATTCTCCATTGATGTTTCTCTATTCGAACCTATGGTAAAGAATCGATTGTCGAAGCGTTCGTTGCGAACACTTCGATAATCGATCCTTTTCCATAGGTTTAAATGCTAGATCAATCGATACATCGCGGAGCACGACACGCCACGCCACGCCACGCCACGCCACGCCACGCCACGCCACGCCACGCCACTGAAGTACGCGTGCTTCGGACGTACTTCATGAGTATCGATACTTCGGAATTGGTAGGATCGATCTTGGCTCGAGAACAGTGGCGTGGGGTGAATTTCGATGTATCGATTGTTATGTCATTTAAACCTATGGCAAAGAATCGATTATTAAGCTGTGAACACTCTGTTTATTGATCCTTTCCCATAGGTTTATATGGCATAACAATCGATGTATCGCAATTCACGCCACGCCACTGCTCGAGAATCAACATCCCGAGTCTGTGCCACCCCTCACGATGGTTTCCATATTTGACCCACTCCTCCTCTACTCAGAAATCTTTTCTCCGAGCGTATTTCGGGCGGAATTTTCATTTTGAAACGGAAATAACTTCCCAATCAGAGTTAAACCAGTAGCTCGCCGACTTCTTTTATTAATCCGACACGAGAGGCCAGACCCGGGNGGGGGGGGGGGTGATGCATGCGTTCGAAACGAAACAATAAAAAAGTTCGGTATCCTCCCTAACTTTAAAAATAAATGAAATGAAATATCAAAGAAATGTCACTGTTCATCTGAGAAGGGGCCTCAGTGTGTGGAGGTGAATTTTTTAGAGAAGGTATTTTTGTCTACCGTGGGTCGAAGCATTGGGCCTTGAACTGGAATAGATTACCAGTGGTTTAGTCTATTTTAGTGACAATATAGCAAGTTAAAGTTCACCCAGAAAATTTGTTGCCACAAAATTTCAAACAAATAATCAGGTTTTTTTAAAAGATAACATGCAAAAATAACCGGAATAATTTAACAAAAAAAAAACACACGACAATGGGTAACCAAGGCTGAAACAGAAGTTTTGAAGTTTTTTTTTGTTACAACGGTCTGATTTAGCCTTGGTCACCCATTGTCTTGTGTGTTTTATTTTTTTTTTTAAACAGTAAACTTTTAACTGTTCAGACGACCCAACGACCCATTCCAGCATTAGAAATCTGTCAGAATAAATTTCAAGGACATATCATTGAGTCGAATTGATAAAAAAAATAAATGAAGCTAAGTGCTGTTTTATTCAGTCTCACCGTTTAGCTGGTTCAAATAGGAACGGAAATTCTTCCCTCTTCTCAGAAAGGATAAAGTGATGCTCCCTCGGTATTATATATTTCTGAGCAGATCTCTAAAAACTCCTTTGAATCTTGATTTTTCCGAGATAAGGAAGGGGTTGACCCAAGCCTTCCGTGCAGAGCAATCGAAAAGTTTCGAGCTTCCCGATCCGAACTAATAAATAAAATAAAATGTCGAAGAAGTTGGTCCAACTTAACTGTTCTTGTAATACTTGATGATGAGAATCATCCACTGGGTATTGTTTTTAGTGTGTATATCGTTTTATGGGCATCCTTAGAAAGATCCTGTCGAAAGGGAAGGGGGGGGTGCGATACGCATGCATTCAAATGAAATAAACAGTAGAAAAACAAAGGGGGAAAAACGGAAAACAAGGCTAAAATACGCAATTTAAAAAACTGAGACGTTTCGACTCAAAACTGAGCCATTTTCAGTCGGGAATATTACAATAAATATTTAAAAAAACGATGAAAAATCTGAGCCCTAAATGGTGGTGGCCGGGATCTGAGAAAAATTATCTGAAAAAAAATTTCTGAAATTTTTTTTCTCAGATTCCGGCCACCACCATGTAGGACTCAGGTTTTTCGTCGTTTTTTTAAATGCTTTGATTCTAAGTTCATTAAAAGTTTCGATTCTAATTTGAAAGCTGATTTTTTTCCCCCGCTGCTCTAATAAGTTCATTTTTGCCGTGTTGCAGACACCCCGGAGGATGTGCGGCCGCGCATACCGTGGAGACCGTTCAGCAGCTTCATCTTTCGCGTCTCGAATTAGTTGCGCCTTTTGTACATACATTTATGTGTAAATAATATTTATTCCATGTAAAGCTTTTCGATTGTTATCATTGAACTTCGATCAACTTCTACCCTTTACTCATGGAAAAAAGAGCACGCGCGCGCGGGGTTGTTGGATAGTATGGACATTTCAAATTGTTATGGTAGTACCTCAATAAACCCAAACGTTGTGGTACTACCACAATGGACCACTAGACAAGGTACGAATTTCAGCACTCTGATATATGATCCGTAACGAAAATTTCACGTAGAGCACGATGCGCACAATGAAAATTATCGAAATCAACTCCTCACAACGATATTTAATGATTCTTGATGCGTGAATTCAAACCACCCGCTCATGAAAACTCAATGCTCTACGTGATTCACATCGCGCGCTAAACGTTATTATGACAGTCTCTGCGCGATGTAAAAATCTGGCAACCTCAATCTTGACGCTTTGGCTCAGCTATAGCAAATTGCCTATAGTTCGAAAAACACATGGTGGGAAATGAATATTGCTCGATTAAGAAACTTGCCGAGACCGTTGTCGTGCGCGATTTGACTCACGTAGAGCTTTGAGTTTCTTGTGGGCGATGCATTTGGATTAAGAAACTTTCCAAGATCCGTCGTGCGCGATTTGGAACCAAGTTGGATGCGACAGGGGGGAGAACCCTTTTGGGCGAGCTTTTGTTGAAAAGAGAGGTATTTTGGGCGAGAATGAAATCAAGTTGGGCGAAAATGAGGGAGGTTTTTTGGGCGGGTGGCCGAGTCACCGAAATACCGTGAATCTGGCAGCTATGCCTGCCGCAGAAAGATGAGCATGTGATAACGACGAAGGAGACTGATTTCGGGTAAACAGAACGGAATGCTATCAGGATGACTTCCCATGTTTGTCACCGCGATTCACCGCGTCGTAATTAGCCGTAGTAGCGCAGTGACTTCGCTTAAAACTCGCACGTTATGGATATCGAAATTTCATCGGTTTTTAGGACATTTCGCGGCAAACGGTGTGTTATAATTGAATTGTATAAATTAACGGAATCGAATGTTTTACAGTCCGGAAACATTAGGTTCAGGTGCGCTAATAAGAAGTGCGGGGCAAGTGTGCTAGTTGACGAAACTGTAAAAAAAGTGATCCAACCTAGTGCTGTTGAACATAATCATGAGCCATACACGTCGGAAGAAATAACCAAACAAAAATTTAAAGTTAGTGTCAAAAGGAAAGCGGCCGAAAATTTAATCGAAAAACCGAGTAAGATTATAAGACGCGAACTTTTATTAGATGGTGCCTGTGAATTATCAAATTTAGAATTGCCTGGTATTCGGAAAATGATGTATAAGGAAAGAAAAAAATCTCTCCCTGCTCCAATACCAAAATCGAGACAGGAAGCATACTGTCAGCTGTATGATTTACAACGCAAAATTTTAGTGAAAGGACAGCAATTCTGTTTTGTGAATGCAGCCAAAAATATGGTAATCTTGACGTGTGAATCAAATTTAAAATTGATGCAAGTGAGCGAACTTTTTTTCGGAGATGGGACTTTCTCATATGCACCGGACCATTTTTCCCAGTTGTATACAATTCACGTGTATAAAAATTGCTTTTACATTCCAGTCGCATTTTGTTTCTTACCCTCTAAGAGCTGCGAAACGTATCGTTTAATGTGGCGAGAACTGCAAAATTTGAGTCTTTCTCTGACTGGAAAAAATTTCGTCATTCCCACATTTTATGCTGATTTTGAATCTGCTGCTCATAACGCTATTCATGCAGAATTCCCAGATTGTATGTTACTCTGCTGCCGTTTCCATTTATCTCAATCCTGGTTCCGATTTATTCAATCCAATTCATTCCTCTTGCGAGAATATAACACTAAAGGCTCAGCGGTCGGTAAATGGTTAAGGTATTTTTTTGGCTTGCCATTGTTACCGCCAAACGAAGTGTTGGGTGGTTTCCTAGATTTAATGTCTATCGTTCCTGACGGCATACCTCAAGAAACACAAACGGAATTTTCAAATTATCTTCTGAATAACTATATTTTGACTTTGTCAAAGTATCCTCCAGATTTATGGGCCGGACCGCCGTCAAATTGCCCTCGCACTACAAATGGCAACGAATCGTTTCATAGTAACTATAATAAAGAATTCTATCATACCCATCCCAACATTCACAACGTGGTTGAAGTCCTACGTCAGATTCAAGCAGAAACGTTAACTAAAATAACTTCCGTCAACATGAATGTCACAAATACTATTAAACAACCGACAATTGACCGAAATAATTATGCGATAGAAGCCTGGAATACTTACGCGGCGAGCAAACGTGATCGAGAAGCTCGGTTGACTTACCTCAAGCGCCTAGGTCACCATTTCCAAGCTAAGAAAATTTAAATTCTCATCCAGATTTTATCAATTGACGACCAGCCACCTACAGCTGTGATATTTTTATATTACTCAACTCTACATACAATGGTGAGTGTGTTTCATACTGTTCTTTCATTCAACATGTTGTTCGGTGTTGCCACATTCACATATTTCCTTCAAAAGGTACCTTTTTTCCTCTCGCCCATAAGACCCCCTCCCTAATCGGGGGAAGGCTATTTTGCACTGTTTCTTACTCGCCCAAAAGCCCCCAACTTTTCGCCCAAACGAGCCCTTCCCCGCCCAAAAGTCCTGCCCCCGAGCTTTGAGTTTCTTGTGAGCGGGCAGTTCATATTCCTCGTAACCAATGTGAAATGAAAAGGTTAATATCTTCGTTAGGAGTTGGTTTCAGTAATTTTCGTTGCGCGAATCGTGTTCCACGTGAAATTTTGGTTAAGAAGGATGTACCGGAATGCTTAAATTCGTACCTTGTCTAGTGATCCATTATTGGACTACATTTTGCAATGAAGAACTATAATTTCTGGCTCAACTGTGAAAACACTCATGTGCATAGGGAAAGTAATGGTACATACGTTATTGTCATACGTATGACAATAACATATGTACCATTAGTTTCAGGCGAGTAATCGTCGCAGGAACTATTATTTATGTATTCATTAGTTTTTCCATATTTGTTTCAATTCGATCAAGTACCCAAACCGCCCTATCTCTGTGCCACGACGACCTACGAATGCAATGCGTTTTTTTTTTTTTTCGTTACTAATTTCGTTTTCACATAAGCAGAGAAAATTGAATTCACCGTGGCTTTTTCGATGGCTAAGTTTGGATACAACTATTCGTGTTCTCGGTCAGTGATGTCAGTGCTGCCTACACGAAAAATTGCAGGCGCTCTGGTTTTCGTAGGCATAACGTACGGCTGCGCTGCGGTTGCTGGTTCCCAAAAGTTGTCTACGTTCAATTTACAATCGTGACATTATTGTAGCGTTGCAAAATGGTGCAAGTTGCAGAAGTATTGTCGGTAGTAATCTGCGGGATTGACATCTGCGATACCTTTGTGGAAGTGTTTTAGGAATTTCAGGTAGTAAATTTGCACCATTTGGCAAATTTATCGTGATGCAATACGGCACATTCGAACTCGGAAGATTCCATGGTAAACGCGATTGTAAATGTAACTTAGAGAACGCGTCGGAACTGTCAACCGGAACCGTGCGTTTGCTCAGGACCGGATCAGCGCTCAGGAGACCGGGGTGCTGGCGAACACAAGGGGCTCGCATATTTGCGGATTGCATACTCTCTAAATTGAAGGCATTTCACTTTGTAACGACTGTATACATTATTTATTTATAATTATGGAACAGAGAACCATTGACTCTTGAGTGCGAAGGTACTGTCCTGGTACGATGACACATTAAACAATTTCCTCCTTCCTCTTTACGAGTTTTTCGGATGATTAGTGGCAATTTAACAAAGAACGGCGGTAAAATTTTCTGGTCAGACGCTTCCAAGCCCGTTTTCTCAAAACTTGGTATTTGCACTCATTGCGCTCTTGGCTATCACGTCAGCGGGCTGATTATTGAAATTTATAGACAAAACGATAGACAAAGAGGACATAGGAAGTATGGAGCGATCCCGTTGGTTAAAATGGGTGTTTTTTATAAACTAAGGGGTAAATGATGGACTAATTAAAGGGTCTCTCGTAGGTTGCTGTTCGTTAGTATATTACCTACCTCCTTCGTCTATTGTAACCACTCGCTTCCACCGATAGGATTTCTCAATATCTCTTTTGTTTTCCTTGTCTATAGCTTTGTCTATCAATTTCAACAATCAGCCTGCTGGGCTTACGTGCGACACGTAAAACGGACAGATTTATTCAGAAGGAAGTCTTCCTGAGGTGGGCCATCAGCTTTTAGTTTCGCGTACCACCACCGCTTCGATAACACCGGTACGAGCAAAGGAAAAGCTCAATACTCATACATTTTTCAATTTTTGAGTTAACATGTTCCGGTTTGAACTATTGCACAGTGCGGCATCCTTATGGATGATGCGGACAAACATTGGTAAAAGACACTTAACTATAAATAATGAAGTTAGTAGCACACATTGAACACACAGTATATTTTCCTTTCACATATATATTTTTTATCAATTTAAATGAAAGTAATCCACGCAGAGTGTGCAAAACTTTAAAAAAAAACTTTAAAAATCATTAGTTGAAAAACGCTGATTATGCGAGTTTAAATAATACAGTCTAGCATAAAGCGGAGTGACGCGACGTGTTGCACTGCTGCCAGCACGAAACGCGCACTGGCGCGGCGCCTACAAACCTAAGGGGATACTTCACGCATTGCGCAATGCTTGAAGTATCCCCTTAGGTTTGTAGGCGCCAATGCGCGTTGTGTGCTGGCCGGCCCACTATGGTCCCAATCCGCTCGGGAGCGCTCAAAAATCGATGTTTATGAAATTGGACGACATTTTTTTTTCAAGTCAAAATTGATAAATATAGTATCTACGGGTCATAAACTACACGTAGTATACCTCAAAAAAANCGTTCATTGCACATACATGTACAGTTCATGCAAAATTAAGGATGTTTTAATTTTTTCCCTTTTTTTTTTTTTTTTTTTTTTTTTTTTTTTTTAAGGAAAACTGAACTGAAAAAAATGAAATAGATCTAAAATTCATTTGTATTTTAAAAATGTCGAAATAATGCTTCAGAGAAGACTTTTCTTTACGTTGATTTGACGGGAAACGCAAATCGGGTACATAACAATGTTGAAGAGCGGGGGGTGCAATATTGTCACGTTAAGAAAAATTCAATCAACAATGGATAAATATTCGGAGAGTAAGAAATTTTACATCAATAGGTACTTTCTAGGATTGAAAAGAGCGTTTTTAAAGATAAAACTGCGGAACGGAAAACTTCCCAAAAAATCTCAAAAAGTAGGGGGAACCAAATTTTTTTCGAAACGGTCAACCTCAAAAAGATTCATAGAAGCTATATAAGTGCGTCTCTGTAGATGCAAAAGTGCTTAGCACGTGTTAAGCCTGCAACTATAGGTGTTTTTCGGGGCAAACAATTGAGTTTTCCTGGGACAAACACGTAGTCACGTAAAAAATTCAAATTTGGTCGAAAAAGCAGGCGGAAGCAATTATTTTTGGTTCGGTTGCCTTTCTAAGGATCTGCAGAAACGACTTAAAAGTGTCTCTGGAGGTGCCAAATGTCTCAGAATATTTTTCGAGGGGCTTTCCAGGGTTGTAAAACAGTATTTTGAAAGAAACACGCAGGTACGAAAAAGATTCAAAATTCGTCCAAAAAGCAAGAAGAACCAACAATTTTTGGTTTAAAATCCTTCTTAAGGATTCATAGAGACTACTTAAGCACGTTTTTGGAGGTGTCGCATGCCTCAAAAAAGTTTAAGACGACTACAGATTGATCGATGGCTAAACTTGCTAAATACCGTTATTTTAGCCACCGACTTAGAGACCTAGTAAATTCGATTTCTCGAGAAAAAGCAAACCAAAGCACGAAATATTTCTACTGTAGCTTCCCAAGGATGTGTAGAAGCTCCCTAAAGGTGTCTCATTAGGTGACCTTTGGTGACTTTTTTTTAAAATGAAAGTTCGTGGGAAAAATCGGCATTTTTTTATGAAAAATAGGTATCCAACTTCTACCTTGTGTGGGATGTGTCAGAATGCCTCGGAGAAAAATTGTAATTAGTGCGTTACAATCCTCTTAGAGTCCTCTACAAAATGGTATAAGCAAGAATTCTGAGAGACCATTTCATGATTCAGGAGAGGCTCCGAACGCTTTGTTAGAAATAGCCACTTCACGGGTCAGAAAATACGTATCCGACTATTTGCACAGTTTGTGACACTTTCAAAGTGACTAGAAATTTTTTTGAGGTATACTACGTGTAGACTTTTTTGAGGCATGCGACACCTCCAAAAACGTGCTTAAGTAGTCTCTATGAATCCTTAAGAAGGATTTTAAACCAAAAATTGTTGGTTCTTCTTGCTTTTTGGACGAATTTTTAATCTTTTTCGTACCTGCGTGTTTCTTTCAAAATACTGTTTTACAACCCTGAAAAGCCCCTCGAAAAATATTCTGAGACATTTGGCACCTCCAGAGACACTTTTAAGTCGTTTCTGCAGATCCTTAGAAAGGCAACCGAACCAAAAATAATTGCTTCCGCCTGCTTTTTCGACCAAATTTGAATTTTTTACGTGACTACGTGTTTGTCCCAGGAAAACTCAATTGTTTGCCTCGAAAAACACCTATAGTTGCAGGCTTAACACGTGCTAAGCACTTTTGCATCTACAGAGACGCACTTATATAGCTTCTATGAATCTTTTTGAGGTTGACCGTTTCGAAAAAAATTTGGTTCCCCCTACTTTTTGAGATTTTTTGGGAAGTTTTCCGTTCCGCAATTTTATCTTTAAAAACGCTCTTTTCAATCCTAGAAAGTACCTATTGATGTAAAATTTCTTACTCTCCGAATATTTATCCATTGTTGATTGAATTTTTCTTAACGTGACAATATTGCACCCCCGCTCTCAACATTGTTACGTACCCGATTTGCGTTTCCCGTCAAATCAACGTAAAGAAAAGTCTTCTCTGAAGTATTATTTCGACATTTTTAAAATACAAATGAATTTTAGATCTATTTCATTTTTTTCAGTTCAGTTTTCCTCCAAAAAAAAAAAAAAAAAAAAAAAAAAAAAATGGGGGGGGGTGTCAAAAAATTAAAACATCCTTAATTTTGCATGAACTGTACATGTATGTGCAATGAACGCATGGTTTTCATCCAATCTAAGCAAGTATAACAAGCCAATCGTATGGTAGTTTGTGATTTTTGTGAAAAAATGACAGTAACTTTTGCAAATGATTTTTTAGGGAAAAGCGGAGGTCAAATTCGGATTCAGCGCATCAAAATCATGAGGAAAACACATCTTAAATGTATTTATACTCAAACGGAGAGCCGCTATGATTTTTGATCACTGAAAAGTGAATTGGGACCATAGTGCGGCCGGCCGCCGCTGCGCCGCACAGTGCGATGGATGATGCGGACAAAAATCGGTAATGACACTTAACTTCACCGTTCCCTCCATACCCGTTTTGTCGTGTTTGTCTATGGCTTTGTCCATCAATTTCAATAATCAGTCCGCTGTAGTGCTAGTGCCCAGGTCTGTATCTACGACATATTACAAGCGTTTCATTGACGAGTTTACGTAACCGCCCTGGAGTCGGAGAGGCTTTCTACGCTCTCCACTGATTTTTCAGAGGGGTGGGGGGT